TGGACATTCAACATGTATGCATACACTCATTCATTGTCTGACATTGAAAACAAAATATATGTACAAATTAATTTAAAGCGCAAGGTCTTCAGCTTGTTTCTGTATGACGTTTAGTTGAATGAACAAATTAGAGAGAATCTTTGATGAGAAATCATATAATGCCAACAGTTTATTTTGATCCTTTAAGATTTCAGAAAGGGTCTCTTTCTGAAATTTGTAAGGAAAAGAAATTATTATAGGAAGAATTTTTGGAGGTGGTCTCTCCCTACAATAATCTTTTCTACAACAAATTCCTCTGCATAAGAAATATTTATTTGGTCCCATAAGGTTCTCTCCCCTTGTTGTACTGGTTCTCTATCACGTTTTGCTTTAGAGATTACAGCTCCTATACACAAACCTGGATTCTGGGTTTGTAATAGTATTGTACTTTTTAAGTATGAATTAAGCTTCATCCTCAAATCAAACCATCAATCCCCCCAGACCACCCATTCCTTCCCAACTTAATTTGAATAAAAAAGTCTTCATTATTGCTATGAATGTGAGTGTGTTGTGCTATATTTTTAGTTCTTTTGGTTGTAATCTTGCTTGTTTTGCATAAGTGTAAACATAGAGGAAAATTGAATTTGCCTGAAGACTTTTCACATGATAGACTAGTCTTATGCACAAATCAAGTCCATTGTGCAGGGGTTGACTGTAATTACATTTAAATATATGTCAGACACTTGCATCAAAATTAGTAGCATTCAACTTTCATTCTACAGGCTAAATTAAAATTTCAACCTGCTGACAATTTCCAGGTAGAGTTATTTCATATTTCTTCCATAATATGAATGGTCTTTCTATTATTTGAGTACAAGAGGTACTTGATTGAATAGAGAATTTACAATATTTGGTTTTGATTTGAATCTGCTAATTTTGCAGTTCTTGAATAAATGAACTTGATGCTTAATCATGATAAACCAGATCAAATAATCATATACAGTACAATATTCCCTTGGTATAAATTTTTTTGGTATCACTATACTGTATACAGTATATCAATGCACTCACTATATATGATGACCCAGTATCCAAAAGTGATTGTTAAAGCCATTGAAGATGACAAACTCGTCATGATCCAAGACAACTTCATCAACCATGGTATTGATATTGTATTCCTTTTCCAGTCAGTGTTGCTTTTGAGGATGTCTGTTCAATAATTTGTTCACATTTTAAACTCAAATTACAACTTTCTACATCAGTTATACTGCCCAACTTGCCTTCTTTGAAAGTGTCTTTCCAATACCAGAAAATGAGAATCCCTTGAAGAAGGGCATCAGCACACAGTAAAATGAACCCCCAAGTGGTAAAATAAATCAAAGACTTGGGTCCATTATTAACATTGGTCCAAAGCATCCAAAAAGTGAGGTAGATTCCAACCAGTAGTCTGACAAGACCATACATTGCCACATTGATGTTGAAGTCTGCATTTCTGTTCCACTTGAATTTAAAAAGGAAACAAATTTTGGATTGTTTCAAAAGTTTTTTTGAGCAGCGTTCTTCCCAACCCATGGGCCACAGGATAGCGCCAGTCCACAGAAATTCAGTATTTTTCATGTCCTCAGGAAATTTTCTTCAGCATTATAAATTTATCAAAAGTTGCAATGAAGCCTGTTATCTCCATCTAAAATTTCAAGAGGACAATGGTAGTTTAAATTAACTGATGAAAAATAAAAGTGGGCTTTTCTCCTTATTACGCTTCAGACAAATTTTCACATGCTAAAATAAAATATTGAAATATTTTTGCTCTGAGAAAACCTTGAAGCCCACCATTCTAATGTTTGAAGACATTTTACCAAAGGTGCTTCATTGGTTAACTTAATTTGAACAAAATTTCAAATACCTTTAATGAATTCTTTCTAGAACTCTTATTTGAGTCTGCGAAAATTTTATGAAACTTAGCCAGTCCACTGAAGTGTTTTTTTTATTTATTTGCCAGTCCTCAGGCCCAAATAGGTTGGGGAAAACTGGTTCAGGGAAACCTGGGAACTTTCACATACCTTTGCTCTGATGAAATCAAGTTGATAAGGATGGTCAAACCCAGCAAGATGCAGGCATTTCATGCACTTCTCGGAACAACAACCTTCATTGGCCATGTCTTTTTCTCAAAGCTCAAATCAGCTCATTTATTTAGGTTAGCATTCTTAAGAATCATTTCGCCACGAAATATCTTGATATTTAGTAAAACTAAAGTATACATGGGTCTCTCTTAATTCGGATTAAGGTTAATTTTCATCCATGAAATTTCCTCGCTTCTAAAAATCACATTAGGGACGGGACGCCAATAATTGATTTTCAAAAATGTGGGCAAATTTTCGCCGGAGCCAATTGTTTGCTCTGTGCCTGCTGGTACAATTGCTTGCTTAACTCCTCATTCTTTTTTTCGACAGTTTCGTTCCACAGTATTTATTTTACGTCAATGTCGAGAACCATTTAAACCCTGTCAACAACGATGAACATGAAAAGATTGCTTGTTGATGTAAATTACTGCCTGTTTTGGAATAAAATATTGGAGAAGGAGTTGATTTATATTACCTTATCACATCTAAAAAACAATGCCTCGGAGAATTTGCGTTCATTTATAACTTGAGTATGGCGTACCTTAAAGGTATTCTCATAGGCTTTACGAAATGCGCACAGCTGAAAAAAACAGCACAGTTTCAGTACTTTTCATACTCCTTAAAATCTATTGGATTTTTCGAGCTTTTTGTGTCATTCTTAAGAGGAAAATGTGTTTTACACTTTGAAGTAGAGGCAGTAATCCGGAAGATCGCTCACCGAATTGCACCCTGGGTTGAATTATATCAGAAGGATTTTATCTCAACTCTGGCCGATAGGGTAGATGTCGCTTGTGCTTTTAATAGCATTTTCCGTCCATCCGAACCGTGACAATTCATCAGATTATTGCCATCACACTTCTCTACATAAAATTTCAATGGAATCTAAGTACTCAAAGGTCTAAGAGGCAGGAGTCAGTGCACAGCATTTTATTTTTTTTTAATCCAATTTCACTCATTGTTGAGCTCAACAACAGCAGTAAAAAATATCGGCTGTTAATCGTGTGCATTTATCAGAGCGGATTTTTCTGAGGGATTTTTTTCCCCCACATTTCTCATTTCACTTACCAACAAACACAAAAGCGAAAGCAAAACCAAATATTCGTCAAAAGTATAATGAAGAGCATGAAACCTCTTTGAAGATTTTCTCAGATTGAACTGCTGGGACCATTCTTAACGTTAGTCCGAACCATCCAAAAACTCATGTAGATTCCAACCATAAGTCTAACAAGACCATACATTACCACATTGATGCTGCCTGCATTTCTATTCCAAATGGAATTAAAAGAAGGGAATCAAAATTTGGCATTTTTTCAATCATTTGTCTGTATAGGGAAACCCTGGAACTTTCACACCTGATGAAATCAAATGGATAAGGATGCTTCCATTTTTGCCTCCGTTTCAATTTTGTTTGTTTGAGAAACTGGACGCTCTGAAAATTCAGAAATAATTTATATTTGACACAAAAGAGGACCTTAGCAAAGTGCGAGTTGTGGTACAAGATATTTTTTTCTCTGGTCTCTATTTCAACATGGGTGAGCGGAATTCCAACAATTTCAAAGAAAAAATTTAGCATTACCTTTTTTAAAATAAGATAAAAATCGATCATCCCCAACGACGGAAACAGGAGACCCACAAAAATTATAAACTGACCTTCCTATTATCCTGATATTCATAATTCGTTGTATCTATAATTTTCTGGAAGACGAACCGTGAAACCCGGAAAAAATTCTTGGCGGATCAACATTTAGTCTCTTTCCTACTTCCGCATGAATTTAAAGAACCATTTCCGGTTGGAACCATATGCAAATCATCAACGGAATTTAAAAATTTCAGGGGTTTCATATTCAAGGTAGTCAAGTTTTCTTTCTTTCGTATCCAAAGAATTCTTCTTCTTTAATTCTCCAGAAAATCACGTCTCGAACATTGAGAACACATTTCCAATATACATATCGAAATATAACAACCGAATTTTTTTTCTCGACGGGATTGTTCAAAAAAAAGCAAATTTTTTTGATCTCACTCGTCGAATAGCAAAAGCGGAAAAAAAAACACACACAAATTTGTCAAACGCGGAATGGCAACTTTACGAGCATGAAATATCCAGCACGTCAAAAAAAAAATCTTCTCGAAATAAACCTGCACTTTTTTAATCCTTTCGTTTTAGTATATCAAGGTATAAAATCCCTTTTTCTTTAACGTTGTTTGAGAGTAAAACAAAAAAATACGTCACAAAAATGGCAGCATTGCATTTTTCTTTCTTCTCTCGGTCTCCTTCTTTTTTTTTCTCTCTTCTCCTCGTTCTTCATCAGTCGTCTCTTCGTTTCCCCTTCCTCTTCTTCGTTGGTTCCTGTGATGTGTGATACAAAAGATCCGTGGTCCTTGAGTTTCCATGCAATTGAGTTCAAAACGGTTCGGTGTTTTTTTATTTTTTATTTAGTAGAGCATAATGGCGCCTTGCACTTTGCTGGGTGATGCGTGTCCGATGTATTCACGCTTCGGTTTCCGAGTCCTCGTGGCGCTGATGATCACGCCAACGTTGATGGCGTGTACTAAGGCTGCCCCGAGGATCAACCTGAAGGTAAAAACAAGGAGGAATCAATTGAGAAGTGTTTTATTTTTTTAACCAGGAAAATAGATTCAAAAATGGGGCGGAGAAAAGGCGATTCAAAAAGTAATTTTACCTCAGAAATACGTACTGCAAAAGAAAAAGAATGCGCGAGGAGTGAGGTACTGTACTACGGATTTCCTCAAATTCAAACTGCAGAAATTAAATGGAATTTGTTAAGAAAAGTCAACAATTTTTTTTTAAATCTCAGGATTACAAGGAAGAATATGAAGCAGGACCCCCTTGAGTCAAATTTTTTTTTCAGGTCCCATTTGAATCCCCTTAGAATAAATAGATTAAAAACCTCCCTAAGTCATAAGCTTTATCAAACCTCAATAAGTCGAATTTTCCGTGGCATGTTGACCATTATTTTCTTGAAAAAAGAAAGAAAGAAAAACAAGTTTTTTGTTTTAAAAGAAGTGAAAGACTTGATTGGTCAAATGAACCCCTGCCTTCAAGTTCCGCAGCCTTTTAACTCATTTAAGAGGCCATTTAAGCCCCAGAATATTACGAGTTACATTTTTTCTAAGTGAACTGAAAAAGTATTTCTTTTAAGCAGGAAAATATATTAAAAATGGGGCGGAGAACAACATCGAGAAAGTGATTCAACAAGTGTTTTCACCTCAGAAATACGTACTGCAAAAGAAAGAATGTGAGGAGTGAGGCAATTTTCATTTCCTCAAATTCAAACTGCAGAAATCAAATGTAATTTGTTTAGAAAACGTGAAAATGTTTTTAAATTTCGTGATTACAAAGAAGGATTTATACTACAACTGCTCAGAGAGTCAAACTGCAGAAAAACAACGAGGAATCAATTGAAAATGTATTTTTTTAAACAGAAAAATAGATTAAAAATGGGGCGGATAACAAAAACGAAAAGGGGAATCAACAGGTATTTTCTCCTCAGAAATACGTACTGCAAAAGAAAAGAATGTGAGTGAGTAAGGTACTATAGACTTCCTCAAATTCAAACTGCAGAAATCAAATGGAATTTGTTTAGAAAACGTATCAATTTTTTTTTAATCCTCAGGATTACAAGGAAGAATGTGAAGTACTATACAACTGCTCCAAAAGTCAAACTGAAGGGAAACAAGGAGAAATTAATTGAAAATGTCTGTCGAAAACACGGAAACTAGATTTTAAATGCTGAAGAAAAAAAATCAAAATAATTCAACAGGAAACGTTTTTTTTTTTTGAATTCATAAATACTGGAAAAGAAAGAATTTACAGTACTACAGCCCCTCCAAAAGTCAAAATTGAGGAAAACAACTAGAAATCGATTGAAAGTGTGAAAGAAAACGTAAAACCTACTGTTTATAACTCTTCCACAAAAAAAACAGCCAGAAAGAAATTAATTTCAACAGAAACTACTACGCATTTTTAAATAACTTCAGGATTAGTAGGAAGAATCTCTCGTACTACAACTTCCTCGAAAGTCAAACTGCCGGAAAACAGCACTGAATCAATTTTTGTTTTTATTTCAACACGAAACTAGATTTGAATTGAAGCAGAAAAACAACAGCGAAAAATCAAACTAACAGTCATCGAACATTTTTGTTAGAGTAATTTTTCTACTACATAATACTGTACTGTATGTAGTGTAGAAAATTAATTTTTTCTAACGGATACAGTTGAAAAAAAAAACCTCAGGATTCCAAGAAAAATTTTTAAATTACTTTCCCAGAAATTAAACTGCAGAAAACCGGCTGAAAACCAAAGAGAAAGATGTGTTCTCGTGAAAACACCAACTTTCCAAAGTTCGTACATAATTTTCCATATATACAATATCATACATCAAAATCATACAACATAAATTTTAAAGCATAAATTTACGCAAGTTTTTTGCTCACGTTGGGCAACTTCTGAGTAATATTGCATTAACTGTCTGCCCTTTTCTTTAGAATATTGCTCTATGCAAAAAAAGAAAAAAAAGGAACCAGAGATCCTTCAACATGATGATGACCTCTTTCTTTCACAGCTGAGTTTCATCATCATCAGATTGCGGCAACCAACGACTAATCAAAAGACTTCCCCGAGGGTATAAATGAGGCTCGAGGTGCGAAATAAACCCATCATGCGGGTTTCATTATCGTATTTCCATCCGAAAGTAAAACTTGATCACCTAAGCATAAGCAATTTTTATTTTCAAAAAAAAGGGGCCGAGAAAAAGTCGAGCAGGATCATATTGAGAAATTAATCGTGGAGTTTTTTTTTTTTTTTTATTTCCATCCGAAAGTAAAACTTGATCACCTAAGCATATGCAATTTTTATTTTCAAAAAAAAGGGGCCGAGAAAAAGTCGAGCAGGATCATATTGAGAAATTAATCGTGGAGTTTTTTTTTTTTTTTAGAAAAATATAGAAAATACAAAAATCGAATCAATGTAACTCAGTACTAAAAGTGTCGCAAGGGTAATTTTCAGCATTATCGTTTCTTTTTCAAACTACTCAATATTTGAGCTTTTGATTCTGAAGGAGCTACAAAACCTGATCCATAAATTTGGAATCAAGACCGAAATAAATATCTTCTCCTTCTTTCCATAAATTCAAGATTTGAAAAGCAAAGAATTGCTTGGAAACCACAAGAAATGGTTATCTGTAGACCAAGGAATAAAAATATTCTTCAATAAAAAATATTGTTCAAATATATTCAGTTACAACATATGTATTTGTACAATTTTGCAAACCAAACAATAAAATAAAGAGATTTGTAGAGAGTCTTGCTAAATTGTTTTGCAAGTCTGTCTGAGAAATAACCGCAATGAACTCTAGATTAATTCTGAGGAATTGTCTGGAATGAAGGTATATTTATACCTTCATCAGAACACATTCTGAGAACAGACTCTCATCCTGAATCAGGAACTGTGGGTTCCATGAACACTTCTAAATTAATATATCTACATCCTGGTGTATATTCAATATAAAAATAAATATATGTGCAGGGTAGTTCAAAAGAACCATTTGTTCTAAATTAGCAATTTAGAAGGAAGAACCAGTGAGGGTCATACGTCACTGTCATTGAATAGCAAATTGTAAACAAAATGAGCATAAATAGGCATCACAGTGTAATGCTGATTCATGCAAGTAGAGGGGGAACAAAAACAAGGAAACAGCTGCAAGGAACAGAAAAACCTCTTAGTTGAAAGACATACATGTCAGATGTCCAGTTTTATTTTGTGGAATGTGTTCTCTTTTATTTTTGTCATCAATTTGTGCTTTGATTCCTGCTTTGAAGATATTGAATGTCTTTGAGGGGAATTGGGTTGGGTGGGAAGGGGGTTTGGATGCGGGAGTCTTCGTTGTGCCTTGTGAATGCTGAAAAGTGGCAAATAAAGTGTTCTGTTCATTCATTCATTCATTGAAGGACTTCTTCCCATGCAATGAGAAAGAAAAATAAATCTCAAATCATTTTCTGGGTTACAAAATAATTTTTTTCAAATTCCAAGTCCTGTATAGTACTGTATTGATAAAATAAGGCAGATTTTCATATCTGTGGAATGAAATAGTTTGAAATCATTTCATGCGGAATTCCAGGCTCAGCTTTTACTTACAGGGTTATCATGATCCAAAAAAAAATTCTGAAATTTACTAGTGAATTTTCGTCGGTATCACATGTAAAACGCAATCGAATATCAGACGAATCCTAATATTGTACAGTATTTTTATCCAATTTCCGGAAACCTATAAAACCCGTCTAAAATTCCTCTCAGGTATCCTCGACGGAACGCAGCACAATAAAAAAATTATTATTTTCTACTATTTTATAACTTTACGAGCTTATTTTTATATCCAGGAAAATTAGCAAAGATTCGTAAAAATTTGGCACGTACCACACAGAATATCCCAGAGTAGCCATGTTCCTCGAGGTCCACTGGTGACTTCGGTCCATTCGATCCATCACATTGTCGTACAACTTGGATTTGTACTGGGCCACCCACGTCAAGATGACGCAAACGTTCAGCACAACTGCAAAAAATATGTATATATATTGGCAAACAATTTTACAAAAATTCAAAAGAAAGCTTGCATGAGTACAGAAAAAGATGTCATGAAAATTCTGCTACTTTAAAATCTGGACGTCCGAAATTGACGAACACGAGATGCATCCGAATAGTTTGAAAATTTAATTTCGAAGTTGGAATAGAAAAAATTATTTTTTTCTACAATTCTTCTCGAGGCAGGGCTAGAAATTCCACGTTTCACGATTTCACTTCACAGTAACGTAGATGTCGCCTGCATTAATTTTAGATACATCGGAATCCAAGACTATTCAGATTCAGTGAATCTTAATTCGAAGTTATTGTGATTATTATAAAGTTAATTCAGTCTTTCTGGTTCAAAGTTACTTATTTATCAGCTTAGTAATTCAAGCGACATGTGTCCAACATTTCAGATCACTGAAATTACCGAAAATCGTCATCCATCAGAAATGTTTTTGAAGGGTATTCGCCAAGGTTTCAGATTAAATGCACAGCTCTGATCAATAAAAGAACATTGTAAATAAATGCATAACATAAATAAAAATCCTTCTTGAATCGAAGGAATGGAAAATTCCATTCATTTATCAAATTATGAACAGTGAATCACTGTTCACACTGGAAAACTTTTCGGTGCAGAAGGAAACCGAACTCTCGAACTGCAAGTGAAAGTCAAGTTTATGCTTCAATCCATGCAATCATCTCCGCGAAGCATAAAAGATAGAAAATTTACAATACAGTACTGTTTTTCAAAATTACAGGACGATTTTTGAAAAAATTGCTTGAGGGAAAGTCGCTTTTTTCCGGATAGATCTTCAATCGAGAAAAAACTGGTTTCGAAAAGGCACACGTTTTTTTTTTGCCAATTTTATTTTTTTAAACGCTTGCGAGTTCATTTCCGATATATCTTTGTTTCCAAAGCAGTCAGACGGAGAAGAAAGCCACAAATTCCACAAAATGACTTTTTTTTACATTTTTCAATTCCTCATTCCAGGGTTGTTTTAGTCTAAAAATTGTAACTTAAACTTAAACCCTTATGGGTAAAACAGGTTTTTTTTTTTTGCAAAATTGTTGAGCAATTGAGTCTGTTTTTTTAAACAAAAGGAAAGACACACAAAATATTTTGAGGCCCAACTGAACTGTTTTTACTGCATCTAAATGTATGTTATGGTACAGAACATGTTAGATTTTTGCACAGATTGGTTCAATTAACAGATTGGAACTGCTTATATCAACCTTTCAATGAAAGCACACAATTCCAAGGCAAAAGGGATTAATTTTAATTTTTTTTAAAGAGACTATCTTTCCAAGTACTCAGATGTTGTTTGCTGAAGAAAAGATCCAAATAAAATCACTCAATTGAAGGTAAACTCAGAAATATAATTTTCAAAATCATCATCCTGAGCATGGGTATGTTATTCTCAGTAAGACTGATGATAATCCCTGGAAATAATCTTAAAATAATATTAAATAATATTAAAAATAAAATTAAGTATAATTAAATAATAAATAATATTCAATAATAAATAATCCCTAATTTCCCTGATTTTGACCTGGAGTATTATTTTTTTTATTATGCAGGAGAGGGAATTGTTTGTGGCACTAAAAGAATTGGCACTAAATCAAGTGTTTACAGTGATTTTTTTCAGCTAAATTTAGCTTTTAAGTACAGTACTGTACAATGACACAAAACCAACTCTTAAATAAAGAGGCAAAAAAACTCACATGCAGCACAATTCCAAACATAGAGTCCCAGGGTTCCCGGCAATGCGTTGATGGGATTCGTAGCTGTGTTCACTACAGCGAAAAATGCTCCGAGAGACGAAAACAAGATGGCCCCCGCCATGCAAGTCAATGTCGCGATCCACAGCCCCCATACCATAAACTCGCCCTCATCCACGATCAGTGATGCCACTGCAGGCAGGAAAATAAACCAACATAATCGATTAATAAAATAAAAAATACAAGGTGAATCCATCATCTAAAATATCTGGGAGTTGCAACAGAACTCATCCCTTATTTACATTCCTTTTTTTAATCGAAAAAATGCATTCCTTGATCATTTTATTCTTATGAAATTGAATGCTGGACATCAGAAAAGAAGTATTCTGGTGACGCAGGAACCAACATTATCACATTTCAACTGCTTCATTTATGGTAGATGTCACTGACAATCAAAATGCCTTGTTCCTTCACATCACAGGTCATCCGAACTCAACAAATTTTTGTGGCTTAGGTTTACACAAAAGGCGGAATTCAAAAATAAAACACAGAATCAGCTGTGGAAAAAATTTCTTTTGTTTTTGAAAAAGGGGAACAGAATTTTAAAGTTTTCAGAAGGGCCTTACGAAGACCTACAAAAATGCATAGATTAGGAAAAAATGTGCAACTGCTTTTTAAATATAAAGATTTTAGTTGACTAAATCATCCTGATTCTGAAAAAAGTTTTAAAAATGGTTGTTTTTTTTCTGTCTTCCTAATAATGCTGTACATGTCTAATAAGAATGCCTACCAGAAAAATTCGAGACTAGGAATGCAACAGGATATTTTTGCGTAATTATTCATCGTTCTTCACAAATTTTCGAATATGGAGAAAATGGTGTAAATTTCAGTACAGTAAAAATAATTATAGTCTGCTCGATTCAAATAGTTCGCCGATTTTTATTTTTACGTCGCGTCGTACCAAAAATAATTTAGTGTGCAGCAATTAGATTGATTCTTGGGTCAAGGACCTCAAACAAGTGTTTACCAGGCTTCTGGTATTCGGGGTATTTTTTTTTACTAATTCAATATTGTTCCGAAATACTCTTGGTACTGCGAGAAGTGTTGAAATTCGCAAGGTATGATTTTTCTCTTTTAGAAAGGTGCGAATTCCAAGCTACTGTATTATTTGTGGATGCAAAAGAAATTGGAGCTGTTATTATTGTGGTCACAAGTTTCTGTGCGTGTTAGAAATGCGTTTGCCTGATCCATGAAAAAATAAAAATCATCTTCGCAGAAAATAATGAGAAAACTGCATCATTATCTCAAATTAGTGAGCTGAAAATTTATAAAATTCCCTGACAATTCATCAAAGTTGATGGAAAAATTTCCCTGGCTGAACTGAAATGTTCTACACATCCGCAAATTGTTGCTTGAGAAACGCATACAAAAATTGCTAACAAAAAGTTTTTCCTGGAACATGATCATCTACATAGTCTACATCAATGTTCCTCAACCTGTGATCCCCGGGTCCGCAAAATTTTTGCTGGTCCACAGAATTTGTTTTAAGAATAATAACTGTATCAAAAGTTGGAATGAAGTCTGTTTATCTTCGCGTAAAATTTCAGAAAAACAATGACAGTTGAAATTATCCGATGAAAAATAAAGGTTGGATCTTATCTGAATAACACTTCAGACAAATTTTCCCCTGCTCAAAAAAAATTATTTTAAGTTTTCATTCTGAGAAACCTTTCATCCAGACCAACTTTCTAATTTTTTGAAGACATTCCACCAAAGCTGTTTCATTGGTTAAGGACTCAACTTTTTCACATAAAAAAGCAGAAACTTTTCAAATACTAGCCATACAGTCTCTCAAACATAACTTTTTGAGTCTGCAAACACTTTATGAAACTTTGCTGGCTTGCAGATTTTTTTTAATTTGCTGGTCCATGGTCCCAAAAAAGGTTGAAGGTTCAATTTTTTGAAGACATTCCACTATAGCTGTTTCATTGGTTCTTGATTCAAATTTTTAAAAGAAAAGCAGAAACTTTTCAAATACCAGCCTTAAAGTCTCTCAAACAAAAATTTTTTGAGTCTGCAAACACTTTATGAAACTTTGCTGGTTTGCAGATTTTTGTTTTTAATTTGCTGGTCCATGGTCCCAAAAAAGGTTGAAGGTTCAATGTTTTTGAAGACATTCCACTATAGCTATTTCATTGGTAAGGACTCAAATTTTACACAAAAAAGCAGAAACTTTTCAATTACCAGCCATACAGTCTCTCAAACAAAACTTTTTTGAGTCTGCAAACACTTTATGAAACTTTGCTGGTTTGCAGATTTTTGTTTTTAATTTGCTGGTCCATGGTCCCAAAAAAGTTTGAAGGTTCAATTTTTTGAAGACATTCCACTATAGCTGTTTCATTGGTAAGGACTCAACTTTTTTTACACAAAAAAGCAGAAACTTTTCAAAAACCAGCCATACAGTCTCTCAAACATAACTTTTTTGAGTCTGCAAACACTTCATGAAACTTTGCTGGTTTGCAGATTTTTTTTTAATTTGCTGGTCCATGGTCCCAAAAAAGTTTGAAGGTTCAATTTTTTGAAGACATTCCACTATAGCTGTTTCCTTGGTTCTTGATTCAAATTTTTAAAAGAAAAGAAGAAACTTCAAGTCTCTCAAACAAAACTTTTTTGCCTCTTCAAACATTTTATGAAACTTTGCTGGTTTGCAGATTTTTTTTAATTTGCTGGTCCATGGTCCCAAAAAAGTTTGAAGGTTCAATTTTTTGAAGACATTCCACTACTGTATACAGTAGTTGTTTCATTGTTTCTTGATTCAATTTTTTTTAAAGCAGAAACTTCTCAAATACCAGCCTTAAAGTCTCTCAAACAAAAATTTTTTGAGTCTGCAAACATTTTATGAACCTTTGCTGGTTTGCAGAATTTTTTATTTTTTATTTTGGAAATTCGCTGGTCCATGGTCTCAAAAATGTTGGGGAACACTGGGTCTACATAACTGACTCGTCGCATTCCTTCCAGTATATCAGGTTTTCCTTGTCCACGCAAGCTCGGACGTCAACACGTTAATTAACAATGCCCCGAGGGAAAGAAAAGCAGGAAAATAGCTTAAACGACACGCTTCATAAGTAGAGCGCGATGCGAATGAATCCCTTATACGACTTGTAAGATAACTCAAACCATCTCCGCAACACGGGAATCGCCCTCAATTAGACCTCTGGCAGAACGTGAATTAGGATTTGATTACCACGTGCAGCTGAGTGCCTTTTATTTATTTTTTATTTTTTTTCGTTCCAGGAATGTTCATAATAACCCAATTACTCAGCCTACAAAATGCTGGAAAGATATCTCCCACAAAAAGTGAGTCAAACCTCCCCAAGTCAAATACCTCCTGGATTCCCTTAGAAACAATGCATTAAAAAGCCTCCGTAACTCAAAGTATTTTTCTCTCAAACCTCTGTAAGTCAAATTTTCTGAGGCCTTTTGGTTATTGTTTCCTTGAAATAAGAAAGAGAAAATCAATAAAACAAATTATTTGTTTCATCTTGAAATTTTTTGAAAGACTAATTGAACAAATGAACCCCTGCTGCCTCCGAGTTCAGCAAGCTGTAAACTCAATAAGAAGCAAGTTCAGGCCCAGAATATCTTTTTCTACAATTTTCCATATATTTTTTTTAATTTTCCTCACAGCAGAAAAGTTTTTTCCTTTACTCAAAATTTCAAAAAATCAAAACCTCCCTAAGTTAAATTTTTTTCCTAGTCCCTAGAAATTTGACTTAGAGAGGTTCAACTGCAATTCCACTGTCTTCTAATTGAATCTGGTCTTGTAAAATTGGCAAAAACTGCACAAGAATAATTTCAGGAAATTATAATTGGTGATATGCTGGGCCTTAAATGGCTTCTTGAATGAGTTGACAGGATGCTGAACTTGGAGACAAGGGTTCATCTGCCCAATTAGTCTTTTACTCCTTTTCAAAACGCATCAAGTTAATTTTTCATTGCTTTTCTCTCTCCTGTGTCAAGAAAAATATATCCAAAAGGCATACAGAAAATTTGAATTATAGAGGTGTAAGGGGGGGAAGCCTTCAAGTAAGAAAGGTTTTTTAATGCACTGTTTCTAAGAAAATGCAGACCAAAACTTTGAAAATGTGAGGTTATTGACTTGAAGGGATATGAGAACATTTCATGATGTCATCATCACAAGGCAATAAAATTTGTCTCAAAGGAACTTAAATGCTTTTGACAGAGTCAACATTCCAACAAAAACAAATTTTAGGAAAGGCTAGTAAACAATCTTATTGGTTTTACAATAACTTGTTAAATTAAAATTCTCAATTTATATCTTCTGAAAAATCACAATGGAGTCCTTGACACCTATACAGTAATTCAGAGCCTAATAAATATGTTTTCAATGATCCAGCCCCTGAACTTTAAATTGCTGTATCTGAAAAACACATGACTGTGAAATTTGTCTCAAAAATTAACGTGCTCGCTGTTCCCAGAGTCGACATTACTAGAAAAGCATGTCAGGAAAGGCTCTTACACCATTATGAAGATTTTACAAAAACATACCAAATTCTTAATCTTGAATGACAAGATTTATCAAATTATAATGCTGTCATTTAAACCAATACAGTAATTCTAAGCCTAATAAATCCGTGAAAATAAACCCCAAAATTTATACAAACAAAAACATTCTCGTCTAAAATGATTTTCTCTGTATTACGATTTTTTGCTTGGTCCCACAGGGTTCTCTCTCCATGTTATAAAGGGGTTCACTAGTACGAATTTTCTTCAAGTCCCTTGAATTTCGTTGTAGAGTCCATACCTGTAATATCTGATTACCCACATGACCATGAAATATTTCTAAAAACTTAAAAAAGAAACCTAATCACTCCTCACAAAGCCAACATCTCAAGGACCATTTAAGCCAGGCATTTAAGAAGAAGGGTAAGAAAAAAACACACAACACCAACCATTGATGAAGGACACTCGAGTGCCGTAGCCGTAGTTGAGCTCCTTTTTGCCCCGAAAGAGCCCAAAGTTGACCTTGCCGTCGGATGAAAAGTCCAGAGTGCCATTGTCAAACCGGCGCCGGGCTTCTGACACGACCCAGTATTTGGTGGCCAGAGCAGCGGCCTCTAGCGCCAGCGCGATGCAACAGCCGAAAAATGATGCAAACACCATCGCCTTCCTGAAGATGCTCATTGTCGGCGGGGTGCGTTCGTAGGGATGCGTCATTGGAATTGTATTTTGCACAAACACAACAAGATCACTTTCTCATCATTCGATTTTTTTTTCCCCCGCAACAAGCAGGTCAAAGTGACCTGAATGTATTTTGTGACCGGTGATTGACCTGTAATGACGCATACGAAACAGAACCATCTAATTAGGACACCATATTTGATGAGAATTTGATACACGCGGTCTGAACAAGAAAAAAAAATTGGAATACAGGTGAACCTTGATAACTCGAACCTCCCTAAGTTGAATACCCCATTAGTCAATTTTTTTTTAATATCCCCATCTGAATCCCCTTAGGAACAATAGATTAAAAATCTCCCCAAATCAAAAGCTTTTCCCTCAAACCTCCATAATTCAAATTTTCTGTGGCCTGTCAGCCATTATTTTCTTCTCCCAAGAAAGAAAAAAATCAATAAAAACACCAATGCGTGGGATTCAAAGGAAGTGAAAAACTTATTTGGGCAAATGAACCCCAGTCTCCAAGTTCAACAGGCTTTTCAACTCATTTTCAAAGCCTTTTAAGCCCCAGAATATCACCATTTACATTCATCCAATTTTCAACCTCTAAAATTCTTAACCTCCCTGAGTCAAAACCTCCCTGAGTCACATTTTTTTTTGGGAGTCCCTTGAAATTTGACTTAGAGAGGTTTGACTGTATCAAGTTCAGGGCGCTTCTTAAATTTGATAGTGACCCATACATAATTTTGTTTTGTCCTCCTACACTCCCAGGTGAATTGCACAAATCCTTCTGGCCAATGAAACCTTCCATTCCCCTCTCTTTCAGTAAAAATTGCCGTTCATGAGATTAACCTACACAAAACTTCCAGAATTTCAAGATTAGCCACCCAAGTGGGGAAATTGGTGCACACTGCGGATATGCTTGTAATTCTACACAGTGACCCTGCTGTGCATCTGAAGTGTACC